GAGGCCCCTTTGGTGTCTGTCATCCAGGAGCTCCCATCCGGACCCCTGCTGCGCTCAGAGTCTGGCCTCCTCCCCAGCAAAGGGCCACACAGCTCGGGAGCCCAGACACGGGAGCATCTGATGCGAGACTGGCCTAATGAAAGTCCAGCATGGGGCTAAATGAGTTTCCACCAGTGCGGGGTGAGGGGCTAATGACGACGCGCTCCCTGGGCTGCACAGCGCTGGGTTCTTTGTCAGGGCATATGGCAGTTGGCCCTGTGCCTCGCTAAGTGGTTTCCTGTTAGATTTATGCCCAGAACGTTCTCTTCCTGGCCTCCCTCCTCTGCTCTTTTGGCCTCTCCTCTTCCCTTCCTCGGCAATCCAATGGTCTCTTGGTTGGATTCTTGCACCACCAATACTTAGTGCTGTGTCTTAAAATGTGGGCCCAAGGGCCGAGAAAGAGAAGAGAGAGCATTGGCAGTGAGACCCACTGGGGTTTTCTTTCACTTGCAGCTTCTAGCTAAAGCATACATTTCTCAGAACCAGGGGGCCATCACCTCGAAATTCGTTGAACACAGTAATGTGGACAAAAGTCTTCCTTTCTCCTGTGGCTTTCCTTCCCTCCATCTTCATAATTCCTTTGCTTACAAGTTTTAGATTAATTTAATTCTGATCTATACTCAAGTCCAAGGCAGAATAAGAATAACCTTGACTTTTTTTTTTTTAAAACTAGGCTTGTCTTCAGTGTATCATAAGTGACAACAAATTTGGAGAGATTCTCCTCTCTAGGCAAATTTGCAAGGACATGTGGTGGTATATTGTGTACCCTAATAAACTTGCCTGAGGATCAGACGACAGAGCCAGCCACTAAATTAGACACAGAGGTCAGGCAGTGGTGGCACACACCTTGAGATCTCATGCCCTTGCTTGGGAAGCACACAGGTCTTTAATCCCAGGAAGTGATATGGCAGGACAGAGGAAGGCATATAAGGGGTGAGGAAACAGGAACTCACTCTCTTTAGGGTGAGAATTTCATAGAGGTAAGAACTAGTGGCTGGCTGTTCTGCTTCTCTGATCTTTCAGCTTTCACTGTAATATCTGCTTTATTTATTATTATTATTATTATTATTATTATTATTATTATTATTATAAGACCATCTAAGATTCGAACAACAAGGACAAGTTTGGGTTTTGGGGAGCGAGCTTTGCTTTGATACAGGTAGCTGAACATCATTGTTTGAATTGTTCTCGGGGGGAAATTCCTACCATAAATATTATAGCAATATCCAAATCCTATATATGTTTCTTAAATATACATTTTACTTTTCTAAATTATATAAACTTACTAAATATAGATAAAACCAATGCCAGCTTGGGTATTTTAATATTGCCTACATGGACTAGTAGTTAAATGTGGTTTCTTTAAGTATGTAATGTGTTCCTACACCAATTTGTGTCCTGCTTGTTAAATTATAGAGGAGTTGAAGGCTAAAGAACATGATTATGAGAAGTCTGGTCGTGTGTTTCGCCCTCTACATTAGTAAAAGCTCACACATCTGAGAGCAATGGGATTAGGCAGAAGATCCTAAAGCTGAGAAATCTTGATACTTCAATATGATGGTTTAGTTCTAAGCTCTCCTCTCTCTCTCTCTCTCTCTCTCTCTCTCTCTCTCTCTCTCTCTCTCTCTCTCTCACTGTCATTAAACTTACACTTCTGACAGAAAACTTCAAGACTTAAATACAATGTGAAATATGCACAGCTGCAAGAAATTGCCCATTCTAACCCAAATACAAGTCGTCCTTTCATAAACTCACTCTGAAGGATTCTAAATGGAGTCTCTTAACAGTCACATGCTCTCCACTGAATGAACCCATTCGCTGCAAGGCTACAAGTTTCCACGGGCTCCAAGAGCTCCCCCGTGTCAGCCAGGAGGTCACTGATAGGATCTAGCTGAGATTGTTTTCTTGTAATTTGCATAGTGCAGAAATACCACTTCGTTCCATATGCCGTATGCCCCATTTTAATTTATTCCCATGACAGGAACTCCATTAATATAATTTTGGAACAAAGTGAGTGATAGGAATTTTCTGTGTCACTGAAAACTAAGCCCGCTTTCTTCTTAAGCAAATATTGCTTTAAATGTTCAGGAGAGGAGCTAGGAAATGGCTCAGTGGTAAAGGGCTTGCTGCACAGGCATGAGGAGCTGGGTTTGAATCCCCAGCACTCCAGTAAAGCCAGGAATTAGAAATACATGCCCATTCCTATTTTGGGGTAGAGAAGAGGTAGGTGGATCCAGGGGCATATTAGTCAGACTGTTTAGCATAAATGCCAAACTCCAAGTTCATTGAGACACCTTCTCAAAAGCAAGGTTAAGAGTGACAGAGAAAGATGCCTTTATATACATATAAAGGGGGAGTCCATCAGTAAGTGCACACACACACACACACACACACACACACACACACACACACACACACACACACACGAGAGAGAGAGAGAGAGAGAGAGAGAGAGAGAGAGAGAGAGTAAGAGAGAGAAAAATAAATTCTAGTTATATATTTACATTTATTCTCATTGCAAACTATTTACAAAGTATTTTTAATTCTGTGATATTAAAATAAATACTAATAATTTCCCTGTATTGTGTTTTTGTATAGTGTAAATATTTTTCTTAAAACTGTGTTCTTTTTTGTTTTCATATGATTTTGAGCCTTGGTTTACATCAAGAATATAACTTCTGGTGGCATGTGCCTTTAATCCCAGCGCTGAGGAGGAAGAAACAGATGGATCTCTGCGAGTTTGAGGCCATCCTGGTCTATATAGAGACTTCTAGGATCAGGGCTACATATAGAGACCCTGCCTCAAAAAACAAAAAGAACGAAGAAAGAAAGAAAGAAAGAAAGAAAGAAAGAAAGAAAGAAAGAAAGAAAGAAAGAAAGAAAAGAAAAGAAAGGCCGCCTTTCATTCTATTACTATTGTTCCTTTCAATTTTTTTTTAATTTCCAGAGAAGTGAGGTAATGCAGAATAACAAATATAAAATAAACTGAAAAGATGTTGAATCACCATGACGATAATGTCAAGTTTTGTCACCTCAAAGGAATACAGCATTATCCAAAATTCTAATAACCATCAGTTTTTGGTCTAGTTTGTGACAGACATGACTTTCCATCTTCTGTTTTCATTATCATAACGTTACTGATATTTACACAGTGCTGGGCACAGGTACGAAGCATCACGAAGAGGAAAGACACACAGACACGGAATCTTCTTGGCTTGGGATCCTGAGGTCTTTGGACTGTGCACTCATTCTGTCTTTGATGGCTAATCTCTCTGAACCACAGTTTTAGACTAGACAAATTTGGGGTCTGGAGAGGAAATTTTCTGTTTTATCTCAGGTGTTAGCACCTGGATCAACTATCATTTGCAGGGGTCACCTGGTTGACGGAAAGGCAGTGAGTGCTTCTGTCAGTAGGTAGATAATGTAAGTCACATGGGGCCAGGCCACCTACACAGCCCCTACCAGGATGGTCTTAGCGATTAACCATTAAATTAGCTAGCATTTTGGTTGTGTAATTTGGACCTCTTTAGCTACTGATACTCTTCCCAATTTTTGGATGATTAAGATCTTGTGATGGTTAATTCATATTGCTAACTTTATTGGATGTAGATTTACCTAGGAGGCCAAGACACATCTCTCTATGTGACTGTGAGGGTAACTCAGAGTGGATTAACTAAGAGAGAATGCCAGACTGGTCGTGGAAGGCAGTATCCCATGAGTTGGGGTTTGGATGGAATACAATATGGAATAAGATAGGTTTTTATCTTTCTGCTTCCTGATCCACCAAGATGTCAGCAAGCTTTCTGGAGCCACCTGCCACCAGTCCTTCCCGGGTATGACTGCATCTCCTCAAAGAATGATCCAAAACAAACCTTCATACACATTAATTCCTGCTGAGTGTCTGACAGCAACAGTGAGGAAAGTAATTGAAATTGTCGTCCAAGAAAAAAAGCAATGCAGAGCAAAGCCCAGTGTCCGCTAAGTCACACCTGCTTGCCATCTGACCACATATATACAAATCATTAGCATACTAAATGTAAAGAGCACTTATTCAATTATTATAGGAAAAGCAGATCTGTGGTTTTAAAAGTAAGCGGGAATTTTCTTTTTAGTGAAAGCATTTTTCTTCTCTGTGTGCACATGCGCATGAATGTGTACTTGTGGAGAACAGAGGTGGGCTTCAGGTGCCTTCCTTGATCACCTTTCTCTTCATTTTTTTTGATACACAGTCCCTCACTGAATCTGGAGCATGCTGTCTCATCTAGGCTGACTGGCTGTCAAGTCCTAGGGAATCTTCCTGTTTCTGTTCTTTATATGGGTGGTTGGGATCTGAAACCTGGTCTTCATATTTGTGTGGCAAGAACTTTACATACAGAACCATCTTCCTAGACCTTTAAAGCATATTCGCATGTAAGCCATGTAGTTTCTGAAGCTATCTGTAGGAAATCTGATAGACCATTTCTAGTTCATCTTTTTCTACCATAACCCACATGCCTAGTTACTTAGCACTCTATTAGCCAAGAGACCTAAAATGTGTGTTAGCATTCTCAATAGCTAGCATGAAAAAAACAAAAAAACAAAAAACAAAACGTTTATGCATATATACTGCCTCTTATTTGAAATTTATAGAAATACATATACTTAATAAACTTCTAATACTTTGAATAAGTAATACAATATGTCAGATTAATATCCTGGCAAAGTCTTTGTCCCTCAACTATATATGTAATATAATTATACATTAATATATAAAGATACATAACAAGAGTTGAAGTTGATTTTGTTTTTGAACTTTTGCTTTGTAGAGACATAATATTTACTCTAAAGTAAGCTCACATCCCATAGTATACTATAAATAAATATACAAATAAAACCTTTGAATATATTTATACATATATTTATATTGACTTCTATTTCTAAAGAAATAATACCTCAGTTATGATGACCTAGTGATTGTCCTTACACTAGGCTTAAATTCTTAACATTGATAACCCAATTAGAGAGGAATTATTACACATTTTGAAACTGTACTTTTAAGAACTTGATATATGATAATCAAGGAAACATGAATTTTAAAAAATTTATCTGTCTGAATGTCTATTTGTACCTGAGGTTTTTTTTTTAATTGAAATTAGATTCTTTCTCATATATATATTCTGATTATAGCTTCCCTTCACACCACTCCCCCTGGTTCCTCTCCACCTTCCCTCCTCTCTGGATCCACTCCTTTTCTGTTTCTCATTAGGAAAGAACAGGCTTCTAAGAGATAACAACCAAACATGACAAAATAAAATATTATAAGATGAAGTAAAATCTTTCATATTGAAGAGGTATTTTCATGTTAGTGGCCAGTTGCTTTAAATTCTCCAGCTCAGTCAAGTTGTAATCCTTTCTTCTCTATGAGAACAAACTCCTAGATGTCCTAAAAAAAAAAAATTCATATAATTGGAAGATCGTGAGCAATTCAAAATGCAGGAAAATTGTTGGCAAAACACAGGAGACAAAAACTGAGTCTGCACAAGTGGAGAAAGTGTGAAGAAAAGGTTGCTCTGTGCCCCGTAGCTGCTGATGGAAGCAAAACTCATTTTCCCTGTTGAAAATGCACAGGTGCTCACATCAAAGTACAGTTTTAATTGCTAGCAATATAGAAATACATTGATCTGCTACATGTGGATTTATAACAATTAATTTAAGATCGATAACACTAAGTGATATCAATAATTCATGCTAAAGTGATTTTAGACTAGTTACATGATTTGCTTCTCAGGTGACAGAAAACTCTTACCAATATAGTGTGCCAAGGCAGGTGGGAACAGGGAGAGACAGAGAAGGCATGGGAAATTCCCAAACCACAGTCATCGAACAAAGGACTCTGAGAGCACACTTCCATGGTGTGGAAATGTATCTGATGTTCATGCCTCAGAACTCCATATTTGGACTGAGGTATCTTTAATAACTAACTTTTATAAGGTACATTTTTCTTACTATTTTTATCTTCTGAAATTATGTTTTTTTGCTGCCCTGGCAGGTTGAGGTGATCTCATCCACTACAACACTACCATATATTAATTGCTGGTTACAAATTGCCTGTCCTTTAAGAATCTCTAAGAAAGATCTAAATGTGTCTTTTTTTAAGGTAAATTATTTTCTACCATTGACCATAATATTTACAAAGTTCATTTCAAGTTTTGTTTTTAAGCATGTTTTTCATATAGACCACACTTTTTTCCATGTAGGAAAATCCACATATTGCTTTATGAATGGAATACCATTATCTGCTTTCAGCCTGGAAGTTCTATATTTGGGATAAGCATAGCTGGTAGTAAATATCTTGTTAACCTGAGTCCTGGAAATATGACATTTGCTGTTTATAAGTTGAAAGATTACATAATTTATATGTATTGATGGAGGATATTTCATGGCAAAATATCCTGAGACTTCATTACCTCTCATCTGGGGCTTCTGTGTACTTGAAATATTAAAGTCATTCTCGTGACAGGTTTTATGCTCATGCGTTGAATGTAAGCATGTTGTAGTAGCACAAGTGCCATAACCCACATACCTATTGGTGAATTCTTTGAAAACAAGGCTAACATGGCCACATTACATCTCCATGCTCACAACTGTAGCATTCTGCCCGGGGGGCATGTGAATGAACACTATTATTCAAAACTATGAAGGACACCCTTGCTTTCATGTTCCAGGTATAACAGCAAACTTTTGACATTGACACGGCAGCTGAGTTTGGGTTTATGTAGTACTCACTGGCTTATATATAACATGTCTTTAGAAGCTGCATAATGTAGCCCCATCTCCCATTTTCTTGAAGAAGCAGCTCTGTCAGTATTCGGTTCCTGGGCTGTTTGCAGCTGGTATTCATTCTAAGACAGAGAGTTCAGTATTAGGGAAAGGCTTACAGAAATTATCAGTAAAGGAACAAGACACAAAATGTGCAGTAGTCTATGTTTAGGGAATTCATACTCTTCCCTGCTGTGACAGTTTGAATGGGGCTCTTCTCGTGGAATAGGTGCTTTTCTAAAGTGTGTTTGCTTTCTGTTCTCATTACTGCTGTCACTCATTGTTCAACAGCAAAAAATTGTTAAGCATAAAAATAAAGTCTGAGACCAAGAAAATGCTCCTGAAGAACTCCAGAGTCAAAGTCACTTCTCTACTAGATTACAGTTTAATTTACTGATTTCACCCTGTGGGAGCTGGCTTGTTTTCCCAGTCTAAAGCGCTGCTTTTGTAACATGTTTTCAGTTTTCTGAGACTGTCGAAATGAGCACACAGGACAGGATTGTTTCATGTTGTGGAGAAAACTCACTCCAAATGAGCTGTGCAGTGTACTACAGAGATGCAGACACTCTGTATGGGTAGGTCTCAGCTCAGATGCAGAACACATTCTCCTGTTGTTTCTTTTTAGTATTTACACAAGTTTAGTCCAGATATTAAGATGGCAATGTGATCTAGATTCTCCATGACTCCAGACTCTGACCATGTCCTCAGTCAAGCATGAGACTGACACAAAATCTGTTTTATTTATTTATTTAAAACAAGAAAACCAAACTTTGGCTAACCATAGGCGGTTCTTCTTTTTTAATTCATTCAATTAAATTTGCTTTCTTCTATGAGCCCGATGGAACAGGTTCAGGATACATATAGAGTAAACAGCAGTCATGACTGTGTGATGGTTAACTTTCATGGTCAACTTGACTGGATGCAGAATCATTATGGAAACAAACCTTTGGTATATCTAAGAAGAAGTTTCCTGAAAGACTATCAAAAACAACAGGGAAAAAAAAAGGAAGCCCCATCATGAATGTGAGCAGCACATTTTCTTTTGGCGCAGGTCTTTCAGTAACTTGGAGAAAGTGAGCTGAGCACCAACCACAGTATTTCTCTGTAATCCCTGACTAAAGACATGGTGTGACTGGTTGCCTCATGTGACTGGCTGCCTTGCATTCCTGCAGTGTGGTGCCTTCCCTACCATGACATATCATCTAACTGTGAGCCACGATTAATCCTTCATGCCCTAATTTGCTTCCGTGGGGTGTTTTGTCACAATATGAGGAAGTAACTGTTACTAGGGGTTTAACACCCTCAATTTAAGATTAGACAATATGTTGTGACAAGTAAAATGCTGATGAGGACTTAAAGATAATTTTACAAGTTTTATGCACACTGAAAAGACTGTTAAAGTCTCAGCTGAGTAGTAAGGTGCATTTTGAGAATCAGGTTTTTGTATCTCATAGAATTTTATTTAGAACTTATAGTTATCCACTTTTATGAATAGAGAGAGGGTATCAAATACAGAATGTGTGACTTCATTGCATCATTTTAGTGCAAGCATAAATATTCTAGAAAATTGATTTTCATTTAAAAGAAATCAAAGCTGAATGATTTTCTGATTTATAAAGAATTACAAATCAAGCTGGAGTGGCTGGTCTAGAGGGCAAGTTCCAGGACTCATGACTACACAGGGCAGCCTGGTCTAAAGGGCAAGTTCCAGGACTCATGACAACACAGGGCAGCCTGGTCTAAAGGGCAAGTTCCAGGACTCATGACAATACAGGGCAGCCTGGTCTAAAGGGCAAGTTCCAGGACTCATGACGACAAAGGGCAGCCTGGTCTAAAAGGCAAGTTCCAGGACTCATGATGACACAGGGCAGCCTGGTCTAAAGGGCAAGTTCCAGGACTCATGACTACACAGGGCAGCCTGGTCTAAAGGGCAAGTTCCAGGACTCATGACAACACAGGGCAGCCTGGTCTAAAGGGCAAGTTCCAGGACTCATGACTACACAGGGCAGCCTGGTCTAAAGGGCAAGTTCCAGGACTCATGACTACACAGGGCAGCCTGGTCTAAAGGGTAAGTTCCAGTACTCATGACTCCACATGGCAGCCTGGTCTAAAGGGCAAGTTCCAGGACTCATGACTACACAGGGCAACCTGGTCTAAAGGGCAAGTTCCAGGACTCATGACTACACAGGGCAGCCTGGTCTAAAGGGCAAGTTCCAGGACTCATGACTATACAGAGAAACCCTGTTTCAGGGTAAAAAAAAATAATAGTCAATAACTTTGATAAATATAGATCAAATCTTTGACACAGTATCAGATAAAAAAATTCCACACCAAAGTGAAAAATATACAACATTAATAAGTAGGATTTATTCCTGACATGCAAGGACAGCTCAACATAGGCAAGAATAAAGATTCTGTGTCATCCAAGTGAAAGGTAAATTTATAACAGAGTCTCAATAGATGCAAATAATTGATGAAATTCAACATCTTTTCATGAAGAAAACATATCAATAAACTTAATGAAGGAATGTCCCTCAGCATAATAAAAACCAAAGGTGCCTCACACTCATCTTCTCAAGAACATCACTAATTGAACTCAGGGAGGTTTCAACAACAAAAAATGGGGACATGAAGTTGAGAGAGACAGATAGGCGGAGAGGCACAAAAGTGTGTTGGAAGGAGTTGGTGGTAGATGGACATGATCAAAATACATTGTTTAAACACATATAATTTTCAAAGGATAAATATAAAATATAATTTAAAAATACTAATAAAAGAAATTGAAGAAGATCCAAACAATAGAAATAGATGCAAGTTCATAAAGCTGATGAATTATTTTTGCTAAAATGTGAACACTGCCCAAAGCAATCGGATTCAGTGACACAGCTATCAAAATTCCCATGTCACTTTTCTAGCATAGGGTCTTTAAATCTGTGTGAAATGTGCAAACAAACAAAAAACAAATACGAATAACTAAAATGATTGTAAGCAAAGCAAAAAAAACACAAGAAAAACAATCTAATGCTGGGGGTATTAGACAACCTGGTTTAAAAATATATCACAAAGTCACAGTCATCAAATATGCATGGTGTTAACACAAAAGCAACCTACAGAGTTCACTACAGAGTGAACAGAACAGAAAGCAGAAATAAGTTCACTTGCTATTTGACAGAGGTACCAAGAACACAGAAAGGGGAAGGGTCTTTTTAATAAATTGCATTGGCAAGACTAGATATCTGTGTGTAGTAGAATTAAATTGGAAATTTACCTCACACCATATATAAAAATCAATTCAAAATGGATAAAAGACTACAGAAACTCTAACAAGAAAAAAACAAAACTTCAAGCCCTAGGGCTTGATGATAACTTTGGTGATAATACTTCAGGAGTATAGTCAACTGAAGCAACAGGAAGTGAAAAAATGCATAAAACAACAATCCAACAAAGACAACCACAGTGGAAAGGATACATTGAGGATGAGAGTAAAGGTTGAGACATCTGTAAAGGGCTTGTCTGATAGGGGATGAATAACCACAATATGTAAGCAAGAACTTAATAGGTCAACAAACAAAGACAAAGTGTGTAAAAATATTTAATTTCAGCTCTCCCCCATACATGTATCTCTCTCTCTCTCTCTCTCTCTCTCTCTCTCTCTCTCTCTCTCTCTCTCTCTCTCTCTCTCTCTGTGTGTGTGTGTGTGTGTATGTGTGTGTGTGCATGTTTTGTTAAGTTTTGTTTTGTTATGCTTGGTTTTTGTTGTACATAGTTCTGTTTTGCTTGAGATTTAGTCTACTATGTATCTCAGAATGGTTTCAAGCTTGAAGGGCTCCTGCACCTGCCTCCTGAGTGCAGGAATTACACACACGCAGTGACACACCTCACCTAATAGGTATTTCTCAAAACAAAACACGCATTGGCAAATACATGTTTGAGTTGTTCCCATGGTGTTAATCACTAGAGAAATGCAACTTCAAACCAAAACCAGAGGTGTTGCTTATTTGTCTCCTTGTTATTACAAATCTGACAGGAGCAACTTCAGGAAGTGACTGTTTACTTTTCCTCCCAGTTTGAGAATACAGTTCATCATGACAGGAAAGTCATATGACCGGGATTATGAGGATGCTAAACTCCTGTATCCACATGCAGGAAGTAGAGGGATATGAATGTGAATGCTCAGGTGCTTTGTCCTTTTTATTTAGTCTAGTGCTTCAGTTGACAGAATGATACCATCCAAGTTAAGGTAGGATTTCCCACCTCAGCTATCCTAATCTGCATTATCCCTCATGAGTGTGCCTGGAGCCTTGTCTGCTAGGTGGTTTTAGATCTTATCATTGTGACGATCAACATTAACCCACTTGAAATATCACTTCTCATCCATTGAAATATCTATTAGCAAAAAAATAATAACAATGTTAGTGAAGATGTGGAGAAAAGGGAACCCTTCCTTGTACTCTGATGGCAGAGATAAAGCTAATAGAGCCATTCTGGAAAAGGTATGAATAATCTTCAAAGATTAAAAAAGGATCTACTGTGTAATATAAGCAGCCTCACTCCTTTATACAAAAGAAATGAAATCAGTATGTCAAGAGATATCTACAATCCCCAGGTACATTATAGAAATACAATAGATTAAAAAAGAGAGAGAAAGAATCAAATTAAGTTGACTGGTAAATCCATTAAAAACGTAAAAAGAAAAAGGTCCATCTACACAAAGTAATACTTTACATGCCTTGAAGAGAGATATTTTGTCATCTGAGACAAACTAGATGAATCCAAGGGCTTCAGAAAAGGCCCAGTGGTTAAGAGTGCTTTCTGCAGTTTACAGAACACGTATAGATGGCTCACAACTGACTGTAACTCCAGCTGTAGGGGATCTGACACCCTCTTTCTGACCTTCCTGGGTGTTCACACAGGTGTGCATACTCATGCACAGACACACATACTGTCTTAGTTATTTTTCTATTGCTGTGATAAAACACTATGACCAACTTATAAAGGAAAACATTTAGTTTGGGGCTTATGGCTTCAGAGGGTTAGTGTCCATGGTGGTAGAGCAAAGAAATGGTGGCAGGAGCCGCTGAGA